TCCCCCCCCCCCCCCCCCCTCCCCCCCCCCCCGCCCCCACCCCCACTCCACCCCTCCCCCCACCCACACACCCCCTCCCCCACCCCACCCACACGCAGATCCACTGGTTCTCCATCTTCAACTCCTTCATGATGGTCATCTTCCTGACGGGCCTGGTGTCCATGATCCTGCTGCGCACGCTGCGCAAGGACTACGCGCGCTACACCGCCCGCGACGCAGAGGACCTGGAGTCCCTGGAGCGGGACATGAACGAGGAGAGCGGGTGGAAGCTGGTGCGCGGGGGGGGGGGAGAGGGGGCAGGTGTGGTGTGGGGAGCGGGGTGAAGTCAGGGCTGAAGTCAGGGTTGAAGTCGGGGGTGGGAGGGAGGGCAGTGCGCTGGGAGTTGCGCTGGAGTGGGGAGGTGGGGGGTTTGCGGCAGGAGATGGGGGCAGGCGGGAGGCGCAGGAGGTGGGAGGAAGCGATGGCAGGAGGGGGTGCCCTTGCAGCAGGAGTGGTGCCGGGCACGCCGAGCAGCAGGGCCACGGCAACACGCTGAGCGGCACACATCACCAGGAGGCGGCCGGGTGCCCGAGCCGGGGCCCTCCATCCGCGCTTCCGACCCAGCACGCTCCCTGCCCCTGTGCCGACCCCGGCGGCTGCCGCTCAACTGCCCCGCAGGTTCACGGCGACGTCTTCCGCCCGCCCAAGTATCTGGAGGTGCTTGCTGCGCTGATCGGCACGGGCGTGCAGCTGGCACTGCTGGTGCTCTCCGTCATCCTCATCACCATCGCAGGTTGGGAAAAGGAGGGGGTGTGGGGAAAGCAGGTGTGGCAGGGTGGGGGAGACCACAAGGCGGCAGGGAGAGGTGCTGGGCCCGGCCGGCTGCTGCTGCGTCCTTCAGGCGCCTTCCTCCAGCGGCCCCCGAACGCGCAAGCTTGTGGCAAGCCTGTGGCAAACCCGTCCCGCCCCGCCCTGCCTCCCCGTCCCGCAGGCACGCTGTTTGTGGAGCGCGGCACCATTGTCACCGTGTTCATCATCTGCTACGCCCTCACCTCCTTTGTGGGCGGGTGAGGCCCGGCTGCCCGCCAGCCGCCGGCCTGCATTTGGCGGCAGCGGCACCGCCGCTGGCCCCAACCTTCATTACCTGCCCGGCTGTGCCTGCTGCCGCCTGAGCTCAGCTGCCCGGTGCCTGCTGCGATGGGTGCAATGGGTAGTGCAATGGGTCTGTGAGGCACGAGGTCCCACGTCTACCTAAGTCTGCCCGCGCCGCGCCCCGCTTCCCCGTAGCTACGTGAGCGGCGGCTTCTACGCCCGCAACGAGGGCAAGAACTGGATCCAGACGATGCTGGTCACCGCCTGCCTCTTCCCCCTCTCCTGCTTCTCCATCGCCTTTGTGCTCAACACCATCGCCATCTTCTACCAGGTGCGGTACCGCCGGTACCGTACCGCAGCCATGCCCGCAACAGAGCTGCCGCCAGCTGCGACTGCGCTGCCGGTCGCCGGAGCTGCCGGCAGCAACGGCGTTTCGGCGGCCCGCCAACCGCCTGCGCTGCCGCTCACCTGCCTGCCGCCCCGCCCGCTGCATGCTGCCCCGGTTGCCTGCCCCCGCAGTCGCTGGCAGCTGTACCCTTTGGATCTATTGTCATCGTGCTGCTCATCTGGATGTTCATTTCCTTCCCGCTCTGCCTCTTCGGCACCGTGGTGGGACGAAACTGGGCGGGCGCGCCAGACCACCCGTGCAGGTGCGCGGGTGGCGCGCCGGGATGCCGGCTGCTGCCGCGCTGGCTGCACTGGGATGCTGGCTGCGTGCCCACGCCTGCATGGATGCCAGCTCAATAGCTCCCATGCGCCGCGCCTCCTCCTCCAGCCAGGCCTCTTCCAGCTCACCTCGTATCCCTCATCACCTCTCCCCCCTCCCTTCCTGTGCTGCTCATCTCCCTCCCCCTCTCCTCAACCACGCCCCTCTTGCTTACGAACTTTCTTCCTTCCTCCAGGGTCAAGCGCATCCCCTCCCCCATCCCCGACAAGAAGTGGTACCTGCGCCCCCACATCATCGCCCTGGTGGGCGGCCTCCTCCCCTTTGGCTCCATCTTCATCGAGATGTACTTCATCTTCACGTCCTTCTGGAACTACAAGGTGGGCTGGCGGTGTGGCGGTGGCTGGGGGGGGTCGCTGCAGGCCTGGGGTTGGGGGTCCTGACTCCTTTCTGAAGCTGCGAGGTGGGCGGGCGGTGTGGCTGCGGGGGGTCGCTGCAGGCCTGGGGTTGGGGGTCCTGACTCCTTTCTGAAGCTGCGAGGTGGGCGGGCGGTGTGGCTGCGGGGGTCGCTGCAGGCCTGCAAGGCCGCGGTGTGTGTGTATGTGTGTGTGTATGTGTGTGTGTGTGTCATGGGGGTGGGGGGTGGGGGCCCCGACTCCTTCCTGAAGCTGCGAGGCGGGCTGGCGGCGTGGGCCGTTTGTTCTGTGCTGGAGTGTGTGGTGGCTGAGTGGGTGGTGAGGGAATGGGAGGCGGTGCCTTGCAGAAAGGCCACGAGGTCCCGCTTGCCAGTTCGTGGTGGACGCCGCCTGATTGATTGACTGATTGATTGATTGATTGCCGCCCTGGCCTGCCCTGCACCCTCCCCCTCCTTTTCTCCCGTACTTGCAGGTGTACTACGTGTACGGCTTCTTCCTCCTCGTCTTTCTCATCCTGCTCATCGTGACTGTGAGCCTGCGCCCGTCGCCGGTTGTGGCAGCGCCGTGGTGCCAGCCGTGCCCCCTGCGTCTCACCCTGAAAAGATCACAAACACACCTCACTGTCTGCTGTCGATGCCGCTGTTGACCGGAGCTGTACTGCCTCCCTGTACCGCCGCCCCCCCTACCACCTGTACCGCCAGGTCTGCGTCACCATCGTGGGCACCTACTTCCTGCTCAACGCCGAAAACTACCACTGGCACTGGACCGCCTTCTCAGCCGGCGCCTCCACATGTAGGCTGCTGCTCACCTCTGTTTGATCAGCCCGCCGCTGCTACAAGCAGCCCTTGCCTCGGCCCCGTCTGCAGCCCTGCCCAGCCTGCCCTTCCGCCCGGCGCGCCTGCCCCCCTCCCTCGGCCCCTTCCTTCGAACCCCCTGTCCTGCCTGGCCTGCCCCCTGCCACCCCCACCCACCCCCTCTGCCTTTCCTGATCGCTTCTTGACCTTACTCCCTGCCCTGCCCGCCTGCCCCCTGCCCGCCTGCAGCGCTGTACGTGATGCTGTACAGCGTGCACTACTTTGTGATGAAGACCAAGATGACCGGCTTCTTCCAGACAGCCTTCTACTTTGGGTACACCCTCATGTTCTGCCTAGGTGAGGGCGCTCCCAGGGGCGCTGCAGGGAGCGAGGAGGCGCGTCTAGGGTGGCAGCCTCCCCGGTGGCTGCTGCTGCTGCTGCTGTACCACACCCGCCGGCATGCATCGCAAGACGCCCAATAGCAGCAGCCTGCCAGGGGCGCGTGGCTGCCGGGCTCTTGAGTGGGGCCTGAGCCGAGGCGGCGCGGCTGCTGTGCCGGGCGCTGCAGGCCTGAGCATCATGTGCGGCGCGATCGGCTACCTGGGCTCCCTGGCCTTTGTGCGGCGCATATTCAGGAACGTGAAGGTGGACTAGGCGGGGCCTGGCGCGCGGTGCGGCATCGCCCCTTAAAAAAAGTGCCAGGGCGCGCCAGCCGCACAGGGGCACCTGCAGCAGCCGCTGGGCCCGGCCCGCCTCGGGGTGGCCGCCCCGCTCCTTTTGCTTCTCTACATTCCCTGCAGTCACTGCTTTCTATTTGCTGTAAGCTTCAACTTGCGCCCGAGCTGGATCAGCGACCAGGGCGGGCACCTCGGCATCTTCCAACTCTCTCCTTTCGTCTCTCTGCCGGCTGCGGTGTCGGGAGCTGCTTCCCTCTATAGCCTGGAGCTGGATGAGAGTTCTCATCCAACGCTGGCACTGACCAAAGCAGATGTGGAAATCCTGTCTGGCTTGCCAGGCCTGCATAGGCTCTTGATCAAGAGCACTGCCAGAACTCCCGCCTTGGTGCTGCGGTCCTTGCAAGCCAGACTGCCGCTGCTGGAGCGGTGGGAGCGGTGGCACAGCGTCACATGATTCTGCCTGGTCACACAAAAAATTGCCGCATGATGGGATTTTGCTTTGTAAAACCTTGCTTGCAGTCCCTAGCACCGCCCTCACAGCCCGTGTGGCCGTAAGTCCGCTGCGGGTCGGCGCCCAGTCGACACCCTGTGCCGAGTGTCAGCAGGATGGGGTTACTGCAGCAGTTGGGCTCTACTGCTTGCAATTTTCGGTACGCCGAAAGTGTCGAATCACCGCAGGAGCTTTTCATACACAGCGAATAGCAGTCAGCAGGGCCGCCACGTCGCGACGCGTCGTGCCGACAGGCTGGCGCCGCCGCCCCCTTGCCATGTGCATCTGCGAGCCGTCCCATTGATCGCCAGACAGTCCAGACGCAACCGAGCAGGAGCGTGGCGCTATGCAGCAGGCCCTGGCTCTTTGCGCCTGCCCGCCCCTGGCTGTGGCGGTTGCGGCCGCCTGCAGGCCGGCCAAGCAGGCCAGGTGGGCGCCAGAACCCTTCAGGGCCAGCCGGAATCGCCAGCGCCGCAAACTACCGCTGGCCCCCACCAAGCCCTTCCCCTGTGCTGTCTGCAGGCCAGCCCCCCGCAGCGCAGCGTCGCAGCGCTACCGCGCTCGGCTACCCCCCATCAGGCAAGCGCCGCCGCCAAGCGCCCGTCTTGCACGTTTTGTGCTCAGCTCAGCCATGTCTGCTGGGTGCTGGAACCGGGAACTTTAGCCACGGCAATCCGCATTCGATCATTGGCATGCATGTGCGGTCGGGGCGGGCCCCGAGGCCCACCAGCTGGGTGCTGCCCTCTTTGCCGCAGGGCGGCGGAGAGTGCCACCGCCAATGGCACCTCGTCCTCGGCCATCCCTGAGCCTGTGGTGAAGATCGACAACGAGAGCGACCCCTTTGCCACCATCGTGTCCGTCGAGTATGGCGACCGCCTGGGCGAGCTGCTTGACACGGTGAGGTTGGTGGCTGATCGCGGCGGCGGCAGGCGTCGGTCATGCATGGCATAGCAGGCGGGGTTCCTAGTGACCTGTCAGCACGGGCAGCCTGAGCAGGGCTGCAGCCGCCGCCTGCCTCGCGGCAGGCGGCGGCAGCGGGCAAGGCCCCGAGGAGGCAGTGGCAGGCTCGCAGCCGCAGGCCGCCCACCTGGCACCCCGCCTGTACCGCCGGTGTACTGCCGCAGATTGCTTCTCTCAAGGCGCTGGGCCTCAACATCCGCCGCGCCAAGCTGAAGAGCGACCGGGAGCACAAGTTCTACGTGACCGACATGCGCACCAGTGAGAAGGTGTGGCCGGCGCATCGGATGCGGCAGGGCAGGCAGGGCAGGCAGCTTCGCACACCTGTTTTTTGGCTCTGAACTCCTGTGAGGGCTGGGATGGGGCAGGCTGGCCGCACCCTGCCTGCCCAGCGTGCCTGCCCACGGTGGCGCTGCCCGAGCGGCCCCCTCAAAAGCGGTACCGCCTGCCGCCCTGCGTCCGTACCACGGTACCGCAGGTCGTCAGGAGCGCCAAGCTGGAGGAGATCCGGCTGACCATCCTGCAGAACCTGCTGCAGTTCCACCCAGAGTCTGGGGAGCAGCTGGCTTGGGGCACCCCCGCCGCGCGCCAGGGTGCGCCCTCTCTGTCCCGTTCGGTTCTGTCGAGCTGCAGCGGCAGCACGGGCGGCGGCAGGGGCAGCGGGGCTGAAAGCGGGCGCTGCGCCCGTGCTCTGCCTGCCTGCCAGCCAGCCAGCCAGCCAGCACGTCTCCCTCGCTCCAGCCACCCGCCCGCCCTGCCTGCCTGCTGACCTGCCTCCTGTCTCTCCCTTGCCCGCCCCACACGCTTGCCTGCTCCGTGTCGCCCCGCAGCCGTGGTGACTCGCGACATAGACCCGACTGCGCCGCTGGGCGCCAAGCGCGGCATCTCCACCCAGATCGAGGTGCGGGAGCACCCCACCGGCACCCACTCCGTGCTGCTGGTCAACACGCTCGACAGGCCCGGCCTGCTCACGGGTGGGTGGCAGCCGCTGGCTGGCTGGCTGGCTGGCTGGCTGGCTGGGTGGATGGGTTGCGCCGCGTACATGCCGGGCTGCTGGCGTCCAGCCCGCCGGCGCCCTGCTCCTCCGCCTGCCCGCGGCCCTGCCCGCGCACGCATCCAACCAAGCCGCAGCCTGCTGCCCGCAACCCGCTCGCCTGCCCTCATGCCCTGCCTGCCACCCCGCCCTCCCACACCCCCCGCGCAGACATTGTGCGCGTGCTGAAGGACGTCAACCTGAACGTCGTGTCGGCTGAGGTGGACACCATCGGGCGCAACGCCATGGACCGGTTCAACATCACGTGAGCCCCCAGCGGTTGTGCCCTGCGTCAATGAGCTTGCTCGCAAGTCAATGAGCTTGTTCGGCAGCTCGTGTTGGGCAGCCGGGCCTGGCGTGGGCGGGCAGCCTGCGTGGCTGTCGCCTGGTTCTGGGTGCCCAGCCTCAGCATCCTGCCAGCCTGGGCGGCGCTGCATCATCCACATCTTGTGCTGCGGCTGTGGGGTTGTTCCAGCGCCGGCAGCCGGGGGCACCGGCACTTGCGCTGCGCTTTCCCCACTCGAGCCGCTCACTTGCAGCCGCTGCCTGCCTGCCTGCCTGCCTGCCTGCCTGCAGGTACCACGGAGAGCCTCTGTCTGGTGAGCGCCGCCCGCCAGCCACGCCGTCGCATGCGCCCGCTTGTTGCTGCTCGCCCGGCAGACGCGTGCGGGCGCTCCGCCAACTCCTGCAGGCTGCCTTTTGCACCCCTGACACACACACACACACACACACTCTTGTCCCCACGCGCCACCCCCGCCCGCAGACCCCATGTGCCAGCTCACCGTCAACGCGCTTCAGTACTACCTGAGCCAGGGGGAGGTGGAGAAGGAGTGGAGCGAGTCGTACTGAGGGGCCCCTCCGCCCCACCTGCACCTGCCTTTGCCGGATGGGTGGACCGAGGGCGCAGAGCGCCCTCGGCTGGCCTGGTGGCCCCCCGGCAAACCCCCGCCTGTCTCCGCCCCTGTTTTGGGGTAGCCCCAAATTGTGTTGGCGCCCCTCATCGTTCGACCCCCGCCCTTCTCCCCCCTTCCTGCTGTTGCTCTCCCCTCCCCCGATCCCTTGTATTTGCCGGCGGCTTCACAGCTGCCGGGACGGCGGGCCCACGTCCCGCACGACCCACGCCCGCACACACACACGCGCCGGCCCCATGATTGCGCCCGCCAGGCATGCGGGCTGGCCAGAAACGAATAGGCACTGATTACTGCGTCTTCTTTCCTTTTTGGGTCTGCCTGCCCCCCGATGTGGATCATGCGTCTCTATTGGGGCGAGGCATATGTAACGTCTGTTTGCTCTTACAGCGCAGCCAGGCGCCAGGCGGCGCGTGCCGTGCCAGCTCAGCGCCGTGCCAGCTCAGCGCCGTGCCAGCTCCCAGCGCCAGCCCTCACCGCTTGCGGCCGCCCAGCTTGAGGGCGGGGAAGTAGTCTCCCAGCGTCTTCTCTTCTGCAGACTGCGGCATCAGCGTGATCTGCAGGCGCGCAGCATGATTGTTTAGCGGAGGAGCTTGTCAGGTTCCCAGCCATGCTCGTCCTACGTAGCGCTGGCAGCCGGCGGCGCGTGCTCCCGGCCACACCCCGGCTGCCCCTCCACGGCAGCCAACCCAGGCCCAGGGATACCGGCTGCCGGGGTACCGGCTGGTATCCAGGCTCACCCGGTGCCCTCGCGTGCGGGTGCCCTCTGGCGAGGTGGTGGTGGTGGCCACATCCACGCACCCCAGCTCGCGGTACCGCTGCACCAGCTCCCCCGGCCGCACCTTGAGCTCGTCCGCCAGGCACTGCAGTACCAGGAGGTGGGGTGAGCAGGCAGGGGCAGGGACGCGGGGTGAGGGGGATGAGGGGGGATGAGGCAGGGGCGGGGTTGCGGCCAGGCAGCCCCAGCAACGGGATGGGGAGGGGGGCGGCCAGCTGAAAGGGCTGATCCAGGTGCCATGGCGGCGCATTCGGCCCGCAGGAGGGACCCATGCATCGGGCAGATGGGCGGGCTCAGGGCAAGCCAGCGGTGGCACCGAGAACGGTCGGGGGCCCCTGCTCCGTCCCTCCCTGCCCCGCGGCTGCTGCCTCCTTGCCTGGAAGCTGTCTGCCTCCAGGCAGCACTGCGGCTCCACCCGCACAGCCAGCACCAGGATCCAGCCCAGCAGCAGGCTGCGCTTCTCCTTGCTGCGGGGCGGGAGGGGCAGGGGCGCAGGGGCGGCAGGCTTGGTGGGCGGCAGGACACACCTGCCGTGGTGAGCAGCCCACGCTCTCCCCGGCATCAGGGGGCAGGCGCCGTCCCAAGCAGGGACCATGCTGCCAGCGGTACCAGGCTGTACTGCCCTCGTGGTACCGTCCTCACCTCATCAGGTACTTGCGCCCCTCAAAGCCCGCCTCTTCTGTGTAAAACAGGCTCAGCAGTCCCTCCAGCACGCTGGGCTGCAGCGCAGGCAGGGGTTGGCAACGAGGTAGGCGAGGCAGTACAGCAGGTGGTACAGGAGGCGGCATGGAACGCAGACATGCATCACAGGGAGCCAGCACGGCACCCCCGCCGCTCCCGAGCGGCGCAGCCACTGTGAAGCGCGCAGCCACCGGGGCAAGACGAGGCTGCGCTCCCGCCGCCGCCGGCCGCCGCTCACCGCAGCCTTGACCTTCTGCGCCAGCTCCTCCAGCCCCCCGGGCCCCTCCTTGAGATGCCCCCACCGCGCCTGCTGCAGCTTGAGCAGGTGGCCCAGCAGCGTCAGCATGCGGCACCGCTCCTCACGCAGCTCGCGGTCCTGCGTGGACAGCAGGCCCAGGCGGGAGAAGACGTAGCCGGCGCCAAACTGCGGCAGGAGGGAAGGGCCGGGAAACGCGGAGCTGAAGGTGGGCCGGGGTGGCTGACTGCAGCCGCTTTGTGGCAGTAGTTGAGACTGCGGCCGGCGAGCAGCCAAGGGGAAAGGGTGTGTGTGCATGTGCAACTGCGGGCGCACGTCCGTTCAGCCAGGGACAGGCTGCAGAGCAGCAGACCGGGCTGGGCTGCAGGCAGGCCGCTCCTGCCGCCTGCCAGGCCAGCCACAGGCCCGCCGGCAACAACCCCAGCCATCCAGACCCCAGCGGCAGCTGCCAATCCTGGTAGACCGAGCTGCCCCACCCCAAGGGCCAGGCCAGCGCTCACCATGCCGCTGGCCTTGAGCTGGGCTCGGTAGTCGGGCTTGTTCTCCGCGGGGAACAGCTTGGTGACTTCCAGGGCGTCGCGGAAGCTGAGCGGTACGATCTCGTCGCTGCGGTACGCCTCCCCCGCGCTCCGCGCGTCGGCGTGGTGCGGCGGGATGTTGCGGTGCGCCAGGCTGCTCCTGATCACCTCTTCCTGCGGGCCCGATGTGGTATGTGCGCATGATGGGGTGTGCATGGCTGGTCGGGAGGTGCAGCTGGCTGGGGACAGCCAGTGTGTAGCTGTGGCAAGGAGTGTGGGTGATGTGCTAGGCAGGCTGGTGGATGGCCCTCCCTCAGCCCCACCCAGAGCATACAATGCACCACAGCGTCTGCCCTGCCTCCCAGCTAGGGCTGGCAGGCCTTTGCAGGCATCCCCGGAGGACTCACCTTGGTCTGCGCTGCTTCCGCCCCCACACTGGCAATCATGCCCAGCACCGCCGCCCCCGCCGACACGTGGCCCGCCTCCACCTTGCCTGCCTCGCGCGCCTTGAGCTGCCGCTTGCGCCGCTGCAGTGGGCCAGGTGGGGCGGCAGACCACCAGTCAGTCGCATCCAAGGCAGGCAGGCGCCTGGAGCCACCACGCTGTGCGAGTCCGGGAGCCCTGCAGCCCCACTCAGCAGCAGGGCCGCCCGCCGCGCAGGCCGCGTGCCAGCCAAGCGCAACAGCAGCAGGCAGCCCATCCCCGCAGCAACCATGGCACAGCACAGCACAGCACAGCACAGCACAGCACAGCACAGCACAGCACAGCGCAGCACAAGCAAGCAAGCAGGCAGGCAGGCAGGGCGAGGGTCAGTGCCGCACCTGCGACCCAAACTCCTCCACCAGCCGCATGTTGGCATCCTTGAGCCCGCCCTGCTCGATGACGGTGGTGGTGCCGCGCGCCTCGTAGCTCTCCCCCCGCACCCGCGGCTCCAGCCGCAGTATCTTGCCGCCCTCCGCGGGCATCACCTCCAGCTTGCCCGACCGCCGGCTGAAGAGGCCCAGCGCATACCTGCGGCTCGCAGACGCGGGAGGCGGGCGGGCAGAGGAGGTGGGCAAGTTCAGGAGATTGGTAGCATAAGGGATGGACAGATTGGTGCTGAGAGGCTGCGCAGTGAAGGAGCGGACAAACGCGGCAGCGGGGCGCTGACGGCAGGGATTGAGGGCAGCAGGGCGCGAGGATGTGCGGAGCTTTGAATTGCTGGGCGGCCACGGGCGCCGCTCAGCCAGTACTGATGCTCTGCTTCGCTCTGGCAGCCGGTTTTCTTGCAGCAGACCCATTTGGATCGGGTAGCTGTCGGACTTTGACTGCGGGGCTTGCTACGGGCATGCATAGCGGCAGAAGCTTCATGGCGGGCAGGCAGCAGCGGCGGTGGCAGGCGCGGGGGCACCGGCGCCTGGCACCTGCAGGGCAGCGCGCTGCTGTACTCGGGATGGGAGGTGCTGCCAACAAAGTCGACCTTGCTCTTCTGCAAGCGATGCAGCACAGGTGGGAGCACCAAGAGGGAGTGGTGGGCGGCGGCGGCGGCTGGCGGCGGGCGTGCATGCAGCTTGGAACGGGCGTCCTGGCGCGCATGCGCTGCCATCGGCGGCCACCTACCGTCTTGGCGACCACCATATATTGATTCTTGCGCTCGCTGTGCGCATACGTCTGCCACTCGCATGCCACCCCGCCTTTCGGGTCAAACCGGCTGGGGAAGTAGACGACAAAGGGGCCCGTGCCGCTGGTGCTGGCAGGCTCCTGCGCTATGGAGGCTGGCAGCGCCTCGGCCGCCTTGCGCTTCGGCATCGCGTTCTGGCGCAGTGAGGCGCGGCAAAAGGCCAGAGAGAGATCGGGAAATGAATGTGAGCACGCCCAATGCGGCGTTGGACGTTAATCAAATTCCTCCGCCTGCTGGCCGCCAACCAGGCGGGTATGGCGCCATTGAAATGCAGGTTTCCACCTCGCGCTGAAAAATTGAGGGTTACAGACAGCAAGCTGCCATCAGGACACACACAAGAACTTGGAGTTTGCTAGTTCAGCAGCGGGAGCGCTGCGGCATGGCAGCGCCTCGCTGAGCGGCGGCCGAGCGGCGCCAGCAATGCCGCCAAAAGTGAGGAGCGAATGAGAGGGCGATGCATAACGTACTGTACTGCAATGCTGGGTGTGATTGCGATTGAGCAGCGGGGGAAACACAGGCAGAGGGTAAAAAGTAGCAAAGAGTATGGCAGGCTGCACTGAAAAAAGGAAACAGGGTGCAACAGGGAGTTGGAGAAGGACCAATCACGGACAAAGATTGAAACGGTGTAAAGGTACCAGTTTGCAGCCCTGGGCAGACAGGGAGGCCGCCGACAGGTGCCCCAGTTGTCAGCAACTCAACATCGGGGCGCCGACAGAATAGAAGCGCAGGATGGCCGCGGAGGAGAGAGCACCAGCATGCCCACTCTGCTGTCCCCGCTCAGCCCACGATGCGCGGGAGCAGGCGCTGGCGCCACGAGGCGCGGGCAGGCCAGCGGGCCGCCTCACTGCCCGCCGCCCGCGCCGGCCGAGGCCGCGCTGTGGTTCCTGCGGTGGTGCGCGGCGGTGGAGCTGCGGGAGCGCACGTAGAAGAGGATGTATGCGTACTGCGACACCACCTGCAGCAGTGAGGGCGAGGCAGCGAGGGCGAGCGAGGGCAATGAGGGAGAGGGAGGGCGCACGGTCGTCGCACAGTGCGCGCATGGCCGCTGCACAGGCAGAGGAGCGCTGCGACGCGCGTGCGGGAAGGGCAGGAGGCTGGCAGGGCGCTGGCAGGGCGCTGGCAGGGCGCGCCGCGCGCAGCGCGCGCCAGCGGAACGTGCCTGCGAGGCGCCGACCCTCGTGACCTGCTCGTCGTTGAACGAGTACCAGGCCTCCTGGCCGCCCGCCTGCGGCACGCGGCACATGGCGGTGTAGTGGCCCCCTGCGTCGGGGAGGGGAGGGGGGGCGAGGCGGGGTTGGCGCCGGCCAGCAAACAGCGCAGGATGCCGGGCAGGGTGGAAAAAGCGCGCAGGCTGCAGGGCTGGGAGGAGCACAGCGCAGCAGAGCGCGCATCAATACTTGGGTCAGCACAGCACAGCACAGCACAGCACAGCGCAGCAGAACAGAGCGCAGCGCGGCGTGGCGCCGCACCGGTCAGGTTGCCGTAGTGGTTGGACACCGCAAACAGCTCGTAGGTGCACTCGTCGGGCCCTGCGGGGCACTCTGGCGAGGCGTACTGGTGCAGGCGCAGCGCCTTGAGCGGGAAGGAGACGTTGGCTGTGAGCTTGTCGGTGCTGGCGCCCTGCGGGGCGGGGATCCAGGCGCAGGAGCGACGGCGCAGCGGTTGGGAGAGCGGGCCCGCGGCGCAGCGGATCGCCGCCCGGACCCTGTCGCATTTACCTGTTGCCCATTCAAGGCAGGCCAGAGCAGCAGAACTCATGAACCACCAGCACACACACCTGCCCCTCCCACCACCACTGCCAGCTGCCGCTGCCAACGCCTGCCAGCTGCCTGCTCTGCTCAGCCCACCTTGTACTTGAACCGCTTGATCTGCAGCACCAGCACCTCTGGGAAGCGGTGCAGGCGCAGGTGCTTGGTGGCGGGCGTCTTGTCGCGGCACGTCTCGCAGTGGAACGCCTCCGCGCCCTGCGGCGGCAGGCAGGCAGGCAGGCAGGTAGGCAGGCAGGTAGGCAGGGTGGGCCCTCGGGAGTGTGTGTGCGTGCATCGAGTGCGCGAGCGTGTGTCTGGTGCGAGTGGCAAGTGAGCCGGGGGGTGGCTTGCGAGCAGCGGGGCGGCCCGGCGGCGGCGCGCTGCTCTGCTGGCTGCTTTGCAGCCGCGGAAGTCAGATGTTATGCTCATACAGCACAGCACAGCGCAGCACACCACGGCGCAGCACAGCACAGCACGGTGCAGTGCAGCACAGCACGGCGCAGCGCAGCGCAGCTCACCTCCATCTTCTCGTCTGCCGTGAATGCGGTGAGGCAGTCCTGGATGGAGGCGGGTGTGGAGCCCTTGAGGCCCAGCCACGAGAAGCTGCCGCCCTTGGCCTCCTTGGCCAGCGGCAGGCTGCGAGGAGGGAGGGAGGGAGGGAGGAGGGACAAGGGAGGAAGCCGTCATGCCCAGCAAGCATGGGAGGTACGACCCGGGGAGGGGCTGGCTGGAGGGGGCACGTGGCCCGACAGGCGAGGCACCAGTAGGCAACGGCCGGGGGCAGCGCCAGCGCGCGGCTGCTGCCTTGTCCTGCAGGCACGGCCGCGCGGGCGCCCACCTGAGGTCCCAGAAGGGTTCATACATGGTGAACCGCCCGCCGCAGTTGTGGCACGTCACCGAGCTCTGCAGGCGCAGGCGGGGCGGACGGACGGCAAGGTGAGGGAGGCGGGCAGGCAGGGGAATGCATGGCAGGGGACGCGGCTGACGGCGGGTCAACATACAAGGCAGCGATGGAGGCACACGGCGCCAGCGCTGGCCGCTGGGGAGCAGCACGCGCCTGCAGCTGGCCCCCAAACAGGTCTGTGATGACGCTGCTGTCCCGCTCGAGGTACTGCTGCCACAGCCGGTCAGCCTTGGCCCCCTCGTCCTCCTTCCGCTCCTCCTTGCCCTCCCCCGTGCCCTCCCCCTCATCCTGCTGCTGCTGCGAGCCCTGCTGCGAGCCTGCGCCGTCCGCGGCCTCGCCCTGCCGCGGCGAGGGCTGCGGATGCTCCTCTTGCGCCTCGGCCGCGGCCGCGGCAGGCCCATCCGCTGCTTCCTCCTGCCGCTGCCGGGGCGACGCCGGGCTGCTGCCAGCCTCTGGCGCTGCCGCCGCGTCGCTGGCGCTCGCCGCTGGCGGCTGCGCCGGCTGCCGAGGGGGCGCCCGGTTCTGCAGCACGAACCACAATTTGAAGCAAATGTGACTCAGCCCAAGCTTAAGTCAGTTGCTGAACCCAGACCTAGCTACCAGCAACCCAAGCTCCACAAGCATGCGAGTGTTTTGGAGGGTTGACTTTAATAAATAAAACCACCAGCTGCCACATCAGCGCCACGTCAGCGCCACCTCAGCGCCGCCTCAGCTCACCAGGTCATCATGCAGCAAGTCCATCAGCACCCGCAGCACCTCCTGGCAGTCGTGCTGGCCGCCATCAAAGTAGTCGGCTGCAAGGAGGAGGAGGAGGAGGAGGAGGAGGAGGAAGAGGAGGCAGGCAACAGGAAGGGAGGAGGGCGCGGCAGATCAGGAGGAGGACTAGGGGGAAACGACGGCATGTGGCCACGTGCACTCTGCAGTTTTTCGGGCAGGGCTGCTGTTGCATGAAGCGGGACGGATTTAGTGAAGTGGCAGGCAAGCTCCGGCGGCAGCAGGCCTCGGCGTGGGTCGTCACCTGCTATGGGGAAGGCGCGCAGCGTGCGCAGCAGCGGCGTGGCGCACACGGCGCTGCCGTTGCTGCCCGCGGGCGGCAGGTAGAGCTCCGAGACCAGGTCGGCAAAGGCCTTGAGAAGCTCTCCCCTGGATGGACGCTGTGGCTTGGCGGGCACTTGCTGCTGCTGTGGCGGCGGCGCCGGTGGCGGCGGCGCCGGCCCTGGCGGCGGCTGGCCTCCTGCTGCTGGTGCTGCTGCTGCCTCGCGCTCAGAGGGTGCCCCTGCTTCTGTCTCGCTGCCCTCCTTCGCCTCCGCCGCAGCAGGCTCGGCCTCGGCACGCTTGCCCTCGCCAGCTGCCCCTGCCGCCTCCGCCCCAGCAGCCGCCTCCTCTCCGGCTGCTGCCTCATCGGCAGCTGGCGCATTGCCACTTTCAGAGGCCACCGCTGTGCTGCCGACAGCACCCTCCTCCACCTCCTCCTCCTCCTCCAGACCCCGGGAGGCAGCCAGGGCCGCAGGCGCCCGGCTGTCCATTGAGGCTCGCGCCAGCGCCTGAGCATGCACTTCCTCCCCTGCTGCAGGCTCCAGCTCGTCGCCGCCAGCCGCCTGAGGGCCGCCCGGCTGCTGCTGCTGCTTGACGCGCTGCAGCAGGTCCGGTGCGACGTTCAGCGGCAGGCCGGGCGTGTACCGCAGGCACTGGAGGGCGGCATTCACAAAGCACGTGTTGCCTGCAGGAGCAGGTGGCGGCAGGGTGGAGTTAGGAGGCAGCTGGTGGGGCAAGGGATGAAGCTGAAAGCGAGGTTTACGGCGGCCTGCCGTATGCAAGAAGGCCGACAGAACACACAGCGCAGCAGCGGCGGCGGCAGCGCGACGGACACCTATGTTGCGCAGGCCGGTGGTGCCGGGCGGCAGCAGCGGCGGCCGTGGCTCCGCGAGAATCGGCTGAATCATCTCGCCTTCTGCAGGCAGCGGCGGGCGACACCGCGGCATGGTGTGTTGGTGTGTGCTAGCGTGCCCCTTGTGCTGCCGGCAAGCCAGGGCCAGCCCCGCAGCTGCCAGAAACAGATGATAAGAACATGAGATCGGCCGCCCAGACGAGCAGCACACCGCCAGTGGAGGCTGGTGCCAAGCCAAAAGCAGGAGTACCCACCCGCCGCACCAGCCGCCGCCGCCGCCAACGCCTCTGCCGACTTGGGCGCGGGGCTGCTGTAGTGGGAGGGCGTGGCGGCGCCGCGCGTGGGCGTCACATCCCCCGCCAGCTCCCCCTCGCTCCCCGCTGCAGCGCAGGGAAGGGCAGACAGGTGGAGCCAGTCCAGTTGTGAGCCGCAGTGCAAAAGTGGAACCAACACGGCGCGCCAGGCGAGCCACAGTCACAGTCGCACGTGCCACAGCGCTAACGGAGCGGACAGGCAAGGCTGATCGCGTTTGCAGCGCAGCGGGCGCACCAGAGGGGTGGCGGCTGCGCCGCCGCCAGCCGGGCACCAGCATGGACGTGAGGGAGCGATGCCGGCTGCAAGCAGCGGCAGGCGTGCTCCGGTGTCAGGCCAGGCTAGGCTGGCTGGCTGGCTGGCTGGGAGGTGCTCGGTGAGGCTGCCCCCGAAGCAGCAAGGGGCTGTGGGGTGATACTGAACGGGTGGTGTCGAGGGAAACGGCATGCAATGCAGGGACGCTGGCACGCGCACCTGTGCCCCTTCTTGCCGTTCGCCGGCGCATCCACGCCAGGAGGCAGGCCCAGCGTGCCAGCCACCGGCGAGGGCAGGGCGCTGGATGGCGCTGCAGAGGGCAGGGCAGGGCAGGTGGGGTCACGGCAGTCAGCCAGGAGGAGGAGCAAGGCACGGCGGGCTGCCAAGCGGCGGCGGAATGCAGCAGCAGCGGCAGGCTGCTGCCAAGGCCCCACCGGAAAAGTCAGAAGCGGAGGAATAATCGACTAAAGTCGAGGCGACGGCATGCCGCGACGAGAGCGCAGAGTCGTGCCTGGCGCCATTGGCCGCGGCAGCATCCTCTGACCTAATGCTGGTGCCATCGGTGCTGGCAGCCGCGAGCACGGGCAGCCCTGGCAGCAGCACGCCTCGCTGCCCCTGCTCCGCCGCCGCCGCCGGGGGCAGGGGCGAGGATTGGGGCAGCGGCGGCTTGGCTGCAGGGTTGTCTGGAGCCTTGCTGCTGCTGAACCAGCTGCCGCCTTTCTTCTTGCCGCCGCCCTCGCTGGTGTGCTTGCTGCCGCGGCTGCTGCCGCCGCCCCCGTTGGCTGCTGAGCTGGCGCCTGGTGCCGCGATGCCCTTGGCCTGGTGCTGCTGCTTGCTGCTCTTTCCAGACTTGAACAGCCCAAGCAAGCCGCGTTTGTGGGGCTTGCCCGGCGCGCGGCCGTTTGCCAGCGGCGCGCCCGCGGCCGCCGCGGCCGCCGCGCCGCCGTTGAGCGCGTGCAGCTGGGCGAGCGTGTCGGACGGCGGCGGGTGCTGCGCGCCGGCGGCGCTGGGCGCGCTGCTGCCGTTGCCGCTGCCGCTGTCGCCGTCCTCGTCGGGTTGCGGCAGCGAGTTGCGCAGCAGCTCCAGGAAGCGGGGGCTGGCCTGGTCGGAGGAGCCGCCCAGAGAGGGCGACGCCTCGTGGGCGGCGCCGTTGAGCAGCGGCGGCAGGCCTGGCGGCGCTGCCGCCACGTCGGCGGCCGCGCCGCTGCCTGCCACCGTCATGCCCTCGCCGCCAGCCGCCTCGGGCTGCCACACGTCGAGTGTGATGGCGGCCCTGGTGCGGGTGGGCGAGGAGCCGGCAGGGGAGGCGGGCTGGACCGCGGTAGCACTGAGCCTGCGCAGGCGCGCGTGCGCCGACACCCTCAGATGTGCTGCGTCGGGTGGGAGCTCCCCGCCCATGCAGTGGCACAGGGCTGCTCAAAGGCTCCTGCTCCTGCAGGGAGGCAGGAGGGCAGGGCACGCAGGGCAGTCGGCGGCGTGCGGCCGCCGGCATCCCGCGGCGACGGCAGCGGCGGCCCAGGACTGGGTGGCACTGCCGCCACTCCACGGCGCCGCCAACGTGTCCGTCAGATGTCAAGCAGCACTGCACGCTGCCTGGAGCGGCCCGGGACGCTGCTGGTAGGGCTGTTGGGCGAGTTTGGAGTGGCAGGGCTTCGGCAGGAGCGCACCTGACGCCTTCCGCTTTGCTCAGGCTCACAGCATCATTGCGGTGGGCCAATGGTGCGGGCTGGCAGAGCGAGGACAAAGCCTCCGTTATTGCTCGTCGAAAAACGGGGGCGGCAGTGTGGGTGCTCAATTGCTCTCACACCCTGCTCGTGAAAGATGCACAGGGATTGCCTGGGAGCTGTAGGCCGCTCTCACTAATGTCCTCGCCAGCAGGGCTCCAGAGGGGCCAAATGCGGCCTGTCCCCTTGTTTGCATGCGTTCCCTTGGACCCCCACAAATGCCATGCTGCTCAAGCTCACTCCCGCCATCCAGAAGCTCCTGCAGGAGGCCGCCACTGATCAGGGCGTCCCCCAGGTGCGCCCCAGCCCTGTCTTCCCGTGCTGCCGTGCAAATGATGCTTGCACACGACGCCTGAGCGCGCGGTGGGCCCGCCTGTGCACTGCAGGACGTGAGGGCTGCTGCCGAGGCGGCGGTGGGCGCAGGCGCCAGCGGCAGCGTGGACTGGGCGACAGTCAAGGCCGCCGCGCAGTTCGTCAAGCAGCACAAGGGAGCAGATGCGGTGCCTCCGCTAGACCAGGTCGGCTGGGGCCGGGGAGGGAGCCCTGGTGGCGGGCTGGTGCGTGGGCCAGCTTGCCGTGCCGCCCGACTTGCTCCAGCGCCCGGCCTCGACCCTCTCCTTCACCGCGTGTCTCTGCAGCTGTGCCGCGGCAGCGCCATCGCCTTCCCGCAGCCGCGCAGGCGGGAGGGCAAGCCTCCGGAGCTGCAGCGGCGGCTGGAGGAGCTACGGGCGCGGCTGGAGCAGGCGCAGTATGACGCCATGGTGGCGGATGTGACGCAGGTGGGTGCAGGTCACGCGGTTCGGCAGGTCCTGTGGGTATCGTGGAGGGCTGGGCGCGAGCCTGCTGCACCACGGGCCTGTATGGGCCTGCGCAGCCCCTCCCCTGGGGCCAGCGCACCTGCTTGGGCGAGCCGCCGCTCGCCCGAGCTCGGCCGGGCTATATCCCTAGTTTCCCTGGCCTGGCCCCGGGCGCCACGCCTTCACACGCCGTTGTACTTCTTGCAGGGGGAGCGCGCGGCGGCGGCGGCTCGCGAGGGCGGGCTGGCCACCTACCGCCAGCAGATCTCGTTTGGGGTGCATGTGCTCGCCATGATGGCCGCTTTCTACATCTTCGGCCATGTGCTGGGCATGGCGGCAACCAGCAACCGCGCTCTGGTGGGTACGCTTGCCAGCCTACCAGCCCGCCAGCTGGCATGGACGTGGGGCGCCGCCGCCGGGGCCTGGCCCCGGCTGCACGCGGGCCGCGCGTGGCTGCCTGGATGGCATGCACAACGGCCGGCGCCGCAGTGCGTACGGCAGCTCGGCGGGCTGGTACACCCTGCTCATGTTGCCAGGTGGCTGATCTCCCTGGGTGTGGTGCAATACACACAGACCGCCACCCCAACACACCCACACCCTTCCCGCCCACACCCGCCTCCCTGCCGCAGCATCCCATGGTGGGCCTGGTGTTGATGATGATTGCCATGCTGCTGGAAACTGTGCTGTACATCATCCGCACCACGGTACCGCCCAAGCTGCACCAGGAGGCTGCGCGGCGCGCGGTGGCGGCGCGCGTGGCTGGCCAGCAAGAGAGGCTCAGGAGGGAGATGGCGGCGACGGCGGCGGAGGGCGAGGCAGGCGCGGCGGCACCTGCCGGCGCCAGGGATGAGCAGGAAGGCGGCTTGGAGCAGCTGCCGCCGGGCAGGCAGAAGCCGGCGGGCGAGAAGAAAGAAGACTGACATGCAGACTGGAGTCTCCCTGCACAGGGCAGGCTCACCACGCATGCCTACTTGGTCGACGAGCGCTGTCTTCCCGACCCCAGCTTCCTTGCCAGCGGGCATTCTGTGACTCTCGTGCGCAGTGCTTACAACAGCCGCAAGCAGCAAAAACCCGGTGGCGGGCGCATTCAGCAGTACAGGGGAATGGCTGTCCAGAGGCGATGAATGGTTGGAAGAGGGTGCGGGAAAAAAGAAAGGGAGGGGACACCGCCGCCGCGGGCTGGCTCTGGCCAGCCCGCGGCCACACCACAACGCGCGCCAGCGGGACAGAGGCTGGAGTGAGACGGGGAGCGAGAGAAAGCAGGCGCCGGCAGGCGGGACGGAACAGGGAAACGCAGTGCACTCGCCACGGGCGGGCGCAGCCTGGCGCGACGCAGACAGCGGTCTGGGGAAAATAGGTACTGGCACATGTGTGCTGGGGGCCGTCGAGCAGGCTACGCGCCGCGGGCCCGGCCGGCCAGCCAGGCGCACGGTCGGCGCATGGCAACGCCCTCGAGCAAGGGCAGGGCGCTCAGCATCCGGCGCGGCATCAGGCATGCTTGCGGTCGCCAATGATGTGCCCGCCTGCACCAGGGTGGCCGGCACACGATGCGTGAGAGGCAAGGAGAGAGACATGCAGTGCATGGAGCACATGGGAAGCGAGAGAGTGAGCAGCACCACCCCCCGCGGGAACGCCAAGAGCGGTGGCCCCTGCATGTGCAGGGGTCTCCAGCAGACGAGCCCAGGGTGGGCGCATGGGCCAGCCTGCGCTCAGCCCGCACGCACCGGCAGAGCCAGCGGTCGTGGCAACGCCATTAAACAGAATAGCCGGGGCTCGACACACCTTCGCCAAGAAAAATCCCAGCAGCGGCAGGCGGGCGGGTGGGCGGGCGGGAGAGTGCATCAGTGCGGGGGAGGCCGGGTGCAGGCGGAGGATGCAGGGGCGCCCGGGCAGCCAGCGCGGCAGCAGCGGCGGCGGCATCGACGCCATCTCGCACTCCCCAACCAGGCCCCCAACCAGCAACGCCAGGCAGGCCAGCCCCGACCGACACGAATCGGGCCACGCAATTATTACTAGATATCCCTATATTGACTAGTATGTACTGCTAGTAAGTACAGGGGCAGCAGGAGGGGCTACGGCCAGTGGGGCCAGCGGCGTTCCGGGGCTCACCGAAGAAGGGCGCGATGACCAGCACCGGCTGCTTGTACTCCACGGGGGACCCCTCGTCCACCAGAAACTCGACCACCTCGCCCGCCTGCGGCACGGCGCCGCACATGGCAGGGGACGGGGCAGGGTTAGGGAAAGGGGTGAGCGGCGGGGGCGAGAAGCCAAGGGCCAGGCACGCGGGCAGGCAGGCAGCGCGCGGGCGGGCAGGCATGCGGGGTCGCAGGTGGGGTCCAGACATGCGCAGGCTAGCAACAATCCAAATCCCTCTCATTCCACGCCGCCACCCCTGCGCCTGCGCGCGCTCACCTGGGGCGCCTCCAGCGGCCAGTGCGTGCCCAGCTGCTCGATGAAGGCCAGCGTCTGCCCCTTCTTCACCTGGTCGCCCGGCTGCACCATGGTCCCCTTGCCCACCTGCTTGCCCTTCATGTACCGCCCGCGGCGCAGGATGCCCACCTACGCAGGGGGCGACAGCGAGGTTGCCTTGTTGAGGGGCAGCGATGATGATATCCCGTGGGGTGCAGCGCTGTGCTGGCTTGCCGAAGCGGGCGTGTGGGCTGGCAGTCGCGCTCCTGCCGCCCAGCCCCATGCCTGCTCGGCGCGGCGGCAGCGACAGAGCTACAGGCGCGGCGCGCCTGCCGGCCCGGCCAACCGGCCGGCGAGTGACGAGCCGCCACAGAGACAAAAACAAACCCAAAAGGTGCAGCAGTTCAGCGGTACAACGAAACGAGCGCCGCCGCCCGTCTTGTGGGCGCACCTTGTTGGCGGTGACATCCAGCAGGCTCTCATCCTCGTCAACAGTCTCCACGGCGGCGGCCGGGCGCGCGGCGGGCGCCTCGGGCACGTACGCCGGCGGCGCGGCGGCGGGGGCGGGCGCGGCGGCGGCCGGCGCGGCGGCCGCGGCGGGGGCGGCGGCGGCGCCGTTCAGGCTGCGCCGCACGCGCATCTTGAAGCTGCCCATCTTGAGCTCCACCTCGGCGATGTCGGTCTCCTCGCAGAGCACTGACAGGAAGGACTCAACCTGCGCGCGGGCGGCGCAGCGCGGGTGGTGCAGCGTGGGTGGCGGGGCTGCGGTTGGCGGGACTGGCGGCGGGTCCAGGTGCTGAGTGATAGGATAGCATCAAAGCTGGCGGTGAGAAAATCCGGCGGGGTTTGCGCCGCGCCAGGGGTGTGTTTTCCAAGGCCAAGCCTGCGGAGCTTGGCGTGCCGCGCAAAATCACGGCCACACGGTCGCCCACGGCACCACACGCCGCAACGGCACAGGCGCTGGGCTCTGGGGCCTTGCCTGCTGCGGGTTCAGACCGTCGTCCTCGCTGCCCTCAAGCTCCTCCTCCTCCTCCTCCTTGTGCTTCTTCTTCTCGGCTTTCTCTGCAGCACCCAGCATTCTGTCGGTGGGCAGGTGCGCGGGGCGGCACCGGCGGCGCCCAGGCGGAGTAGGGTCCGGGAGGGCTCCCGCATACGCGCATTGCGGCACGCCCGACCCACCGGTGTGCTTGACGGAGGAGTTGGCCTCCACCTGGGCCACCCGGCTCAGCACAAGCTTGCGCACATTGGAGGCCGCTGGCAGCCTGCGGGGCGCCGTGACCTGGCGGGAGCCGATCACGCGGCTGCAGCGTGCCGCGGAGAGCTGGGCGGCGGCCATCGGGCCAGGGAGCCGACGCAGGTGAGGGGTGGCCGTGGGAGTGGGCCCGCGAGTGTCAAGCGAGCAGAGGGAGGCCGCAGGCGACACCGGAATGGCCAATTGCACGCATCCGAGGCCAGCGGCGCTAGCTTTCATCATGCTGACCCCGAGGGGCCCAGCGTGGCGCCGGCCCCACCAACCACATGTGGTGTAGGTTGGAGAAGTTTGTCCTCTGCAAGCCTTCATCATTTAAGTAAGCGTGCATGCCCAGCATAGCCAGTCAACCCTGCTGAGCAGCGGATCAGGTGCCGCCGGATGCGGTGCCAGTGGCCACACCTCTCCCTATCCCCTCCCTTCCCGCCGGATTAGCAGTGCGTCTTACATGTACTACATGCATGTACACATGCTACAAGCGTGCTACAAACACAGCAGAGAGAGGGTGGGTGGCGGTGGTGGGTGGGTGGTGGGTTTGTTCTTCTCGGGCGATACAAGGGAGCTGGGCGGGGTGGTAGTGCTCAGAGGTTGCCTGCAGACGGGGCAGGCGCGGGGTGCAGAGGATCAACCTTTGAGAATTGAGCACTTTGATAATGAGCCGCAGCAACAATGAGAAGCACACACATCAGCAGCTTGGCGCAGGCATAACAAAAGAGCTGGAAGGCCCGCGCCATGTGGCGCTCAGCCACGCGGCATCCCCATCCCATGCCCTGTCCGCTCACCGGTGCCCTTCAGACCCAGCACGATGCCAACTCCAATGACGTGCCCAAGAGCACCTGTCGCATCACATACAAGCCATGCATGAGCTAGTCAGTTGGGACATGAGTCGCACACAAGTTTGGGGAACTGCATCAAGCATGCTGAGCGTGCTGCCGCGGCCGGAACAACGGGGAAGCAGCGAGCTCTTACCGAGAGCCAGCACATCCACGGCGTTGAAGCCTGCGCCGGGGGAAAGCAAAGCACACAAGGTGGGCGCCCGCACATGTGTGCAGCTGGGAACGACCGGCGGACCGGAGGCGGCACGACGCCCCGAGATGCGCTCAGCCCGAGGCTGTGAAAACACGCTGCCAGATATGCGCTCAGCCTGCCCTTCCCTCCCTCCGCAGCAAATCAGATCCATCCCGGCGCTCACCAGCGGGGTCAGCGGAGTAGAGGCCGGCGGCCTTGTCCACCGGCAGCAGCTTGCAGCCGGGGTCGGTGTGGCGGGTGGAGGTGGGCGCCAGGCCGAAGCGGCCGGCCACCAGCGGCAGGAAGGTGGACAGCACCATGATCTGCAGGAGGGCACGGGTGGAAAGAAAAAATTGGCGGGTGCTGGCCGACATTGGTGGCTGCTGCGGGCACGGGGCTATGATGGTGCCCTCGCGGATCGGAAGTGCCGAGCACAATGCACTGCTGGCTGTGCCGCCGCCAGGCGCACCTGGTTGGTGGCGCTGCCGAGGTAGCCGGCGCGCACGACCATGCTGCCGCGGGCGGGGCGCGCCACCTGCAGCACAGGCAGCAAGGAGCAGCCGGGTCAACACGCAGCACCGCAGGGCCGCCGCGGTAGTAGGGAGGGGCGACGGCGAGAGCAGGTTGGCACCACCCCGGCTGCCGAGGCCCAGCTGGGCTGAAATGTTCGTCTGCGATTGAGCACAGGGCTCCTGCTGGGGCCGCTGCTGCCGCTGCTGCCTTAGCGTAGCGGGTTTTGTCCACGCCATTGAGTGGCTAAGGTAGGGCCGCGGCGGCCCCAGGGTGCTGGATGGCTGGCATCGGAGCCCTCCAGGCGCCTGGAGGGGCTGCAATCGCTGTGCTCACCCGGGTGGCGGGCCGAGCCGCGAAGCTGGAGCGGAGGGTGGCGGACTGCATCCTGCTCGGCTGCGAAGAGGCTGGGAGGGAGGCAGGGAAGCAGTTCCACGACCTGGCTGGGCGCGGCGGAGCGATTTTGGGTCGCCAGGGGGCGATGAGAAAGATCCCCGAAGCGCAGCACGCAGCACACCTGCACATTTTGGCCTCCATTGCTCCCACGCGACATCCAAAATGGCTCAGCAGTCGGCCACGCTCCAGTCCCACGTCACCCAGCTCGCCAGCTGTGAGTGGCGGCCCACATGTTGGGCATTCGAGTCAACTTGGGCTGCGCTGCTTGGTTTGGGCGGTATTGTCGAAATGCATGACATAACGACACGAAAATGAATGGCGCGGCATTCCCCAGCGGCACCGCCTGACCGCAACTGCCGCCGCCGCCGCTCTGCGGCTCCGCCGCCACCGGCTTGCAGGCCTCGAGGAGCTGCAGCAGCAGCGGGCCAGCTTGGTGGCGACCGCCCGCGAGGAGGAGGCGGAGCGGGCACGTCTAGCCCAGGTGTGCTGGGAGCAAAGATGCAGAGCGCCTGATGCTTCAGTTGTGGCAACCCCCCACCACCGCCACCCCAGGACCCTGCCATGCTTGCCGCTGCAGGATGCCGCCGTGCTGCAGCGCCGCCTGTGCCAGCTGGAGGCTTCGCTGGAGAAGCGGCAGGCGGCCAAGGTGTGCCGAGGCCGCCGCCCCGCCACCCAGCACCCTCCTGCCAATCCCTGTGAACACAACAGTGCCTCCTCCCACCCCCAACACCGCAGGAGGCATTTGACCGAGTTATTTTGCAGACGCAGGGGGCCCTGTCCAAGCTGGTGGAGTCCTCCCACATGCTGCTGACGGTGACCAAGCGCAACGCAGCTGAGGTGGCGTCGCTGACGCCGCCGCGCGGCGCGGTGGCAGCCGCGCCGGCAGGCACGGCAGCAGTAGCCGCGGCGCTGGGATGAGGCGGGAGCAAGCAAGCTGAGGTCATCAGCGGCCCCGTGCTGGTTCCCATGTTGTTTGGGATGATGGAGGGTGTATTGCATGTGGCGGCAAAAGAAAGAGTTATGCACAGAGACCGCGGGGGTCGGGGTGGCTGACATGCAGGGGGGGGGGGTACCGAAATCAATACAGTTTGTAGGGGCCATGTTCGAAGGGAAGCAAGCGGCCACAGGAGGAGAGGCCAGCACAGCTTGAATACCCTGAATGCTCAAAACAACGCCACTCAACCAACGCGGCACGCGGCGTGGGAGTTGCAGGCGACTTGAAGCCGGTTGATCACGATTGGTGTCTCAGAGAAGGAGCACAGCCCAACTGTGAGGCTGTAGCAGTACAGTCCCGTAGCCCCAGGGAAACAACTGAAAGGTAGAAATGCATAGATAGGTG